TGCGGGACTCACCGGGGATTCCACAACGACCACCTGGGTGTCCCCAGGTACCACTCCCAGCATTTTACGGGCCACCCCCGTATCAAGCGGTGCCCCCTCCCACACAACCGAGGCCCGCGCCTGGCCCAGCGGTAAACCAGACGGGACTGCCTGGGGTACAACAGGAAGACTTCAACCGACTGTGTAGAGTGGTGGAGAGTCTGGCCACAGTGATCAGAGATAGAGAACTACGGGCTGAGACAACCTCGGTCCCACAACCGGGGATTCACCAGGGTGTGGTGGACACCAGCAATATTGAGAAGTATCGAAGGTTAAACCCTCCTGCTTTCAATGGGAGTACCGATCCCTTGGTGGCGGAAGACTGGATAAAGGAGACCGAAAAATTATTCGAAGCGATCACAGTGACCACTGAACAGAAGGTGCAACTGGCCACATTTATGTTTAGAGGATCCGCTGAGCGTTGGTGGAAACTAAAAAGAAGAACTCTAGCTCCCCCAGTCACTTAGGAAGTATTCCTGGAAGCCTTCAATGCAGAGTATTTTCCGGATTTTTTTAGGCAACGGAAGGAAATAGAGTTTGCCGAACTGAGACAAGGAAGATTGTCAGTGGTAGAATATGCTGAGAGGTACATAGAATTGGGGCGGTTCGCGCCCGAGGTGATGATGAATGAGACCAAGAAGGCTCGCAGATTCGAAAAAGGGTTACGGTCTGAACTGTATCGTCAAGTGGCTGTGTTTGCATTACCTCATATCAGATGGTGTTAGAAAAGGCACGGTTGGTGGAAGCACTGTATAAAGAACAAGTTGAGAACAGTAAAGGGGAGTCCAGTTACAGACGTCCACCACCCCCCTCCGGCCAAACAGAGAAAAGGCAGAGGATAGCACCGGATTTTGCCCCGAGTCATCAGGTATCCCGGAGTAAACCAAATTGCACCCAATGTGGTAGGAATCATGGGGATCGACCATGTATGAGCGGCGGGCGGGGTTGTTATCGGTGCGGAAACACTCAACATTTTGTGCGTGATTGCCCGTTGCCGAAGGAGCCGGGTAGACTGTGGGTTCAAGGACCGGTGTTCGCCATCACAGCGCCAGAGGCGGCCGCCACTTCCGAAATAATACAAGGTATACTTTAC